TCCCTTCACCTCACCATGATCAACTCCGTATTGAGCAATTGTATTTTGAGTATATTTCCCAATTGTATTTTGGGTGCCTTCCAACCCGAGGGGTTCATCTTCCAGCACTATATCTGACAATGTTCTTGTGCTATTCATAGTGTTTTGTTTTGCCTAATCATCTGTGTATGTATGCTTGTGTGTGTGCATGTATGAATAAAATTAGGCATTGTATGCTCAAAAAATATATATAGGACAGAAAGAAAAGACCAAAGTGAATGTCAAAAGAAACTCTGAAATTTGCTCTTGAGCATAGAGAAGCTAAAACAAATGAAAGAAATGAGGAAGTCTAAGAATTCAACAGAAAAATGTGAAGGGAAGCTCAATAAGACAAATATTATAATGAAATGTACAAAGATCTAGAGTTAGAAAACCCAAATGGAAGATGCGTTCAGCATTTCTCAAGGTGAAAGAGCTGAAGAAAAAATGTAAGCCTTGGGTTGTAGTACTGAAATCTCTACGGGTAAAATACTGAATGATGCTGGAAACATCAAAAGAAGGAAGGAATACGCAGAGTCACTGTACCTAGAAGAATTGGTCAATGTTCCATCATTTAAAGATTTCAAGAAGTACCATATAATCAAAAACCAATGGTATTGAAGGAAGAATTTCTAGCAGCACTGAAGGCATTGGTGAGAAACAAGGTTATAGGAATTGATGGACTACAAATTGAAATGTTTTAATCAACAGATGCAACTCTTGAGATGCTCACTCATGTATATCAAAAATTTGGAAGACAGCTACTTGGTCAACTGATGGAAAGAGATCCATATTCATGCCCATTCCAAAGAGAGGTGACACAACTAAAAGCAATGCAGAAATCATTAGACAATATCTTTAATATCACATGCAAGCAAAATTTTGCTAGAGATAATTCAAAAAACAGCTACATCAGTACATTGACAGGGAACTGCCAGAGGCTCAAACTGGATTCAGAAGAGGACATGGAACATGAGATATCATTGCTGACCTTAGATGGATTTTTGCTGAAAGCAGAGAATACAAGAAAGATGTTTATCTGTGTTTCATTGACTATGCAAAGACTTTTGACTGTGTGAATCATGGGACATTACAAGGGACATTACGGAGAATGTATTCTGGAACATTTAATTGTGCTCATGAGGAACTTGTGCATTAGAACAGGAGGCAGTTGTTGAACAGAATAAATGGCACTGAATGGTTTAAAATCAGGAAAGATGTGTGGCAGTGTTGTATTCTTTCACCATACGTATTCAGCCTATATACTTAGTAGATAATCAAAGAAGCTGGGTTATATCAAAAAGATTGTGGCATCAGGATTAGAGGAAGACTCTTTAACATCCTGCAATATGTAGATGATACAACCTTGCTTGCTGAAATGAAGAGGATTTAAAAGTACTTACTGATGTGTGGCAAGTCCAGGGGACTCTTGGACCCAGAGTCAGGGACATAACCGCAAAGGACTAGAGTGGAGAGTGAAGCATATAGCTGATAAGAAGAGAGGGCATATGCACAAGAACATCCACACTTGCAGATAATACCCACTTGACCTGGCTTCAATGACTGGATGATCAGAGTTCAATCAGAAAGAGGGAAAAAAGAGTAATCTGATACAATCTGATGAACTTGACATACACACATCAAAAGAGGGAACAAATCTTCACAGTGAGGATCATTCCCACGCCCTCCACACACAGAGAGGACGGGGATGGGCAACTTGGACATTGGCTACCCAGAATGGGGGGTGCTACAGAGGCAAGAAGTGACTGACTTACAAGCTTTCAAGAGGGACCCTAGATCCAGAGGGCGTGGAGCAAGGTAGAATCTCCACTGAGTAGTATCCGTTCTGTCTAGTTGGGGCTGATGAAAGGAGATGCAGATAGGTCTCTTGCAATACAATAGTGAATAATTGTTATCAGGACTGATTGTAAGGGCTGGAAATGTAAAGGTAGACATTTTGTGGCAAAGGGAGGGGAGTGATTAACTTTGCAATCTAGGAGCGGAGGTCCCTGGGACCATCAAGGTAGAAGAGTGGAGAACGGAACCCTACCCAGAGAAGCAGTGATGCCAGAGATGGAGGCAGAGACGATGACATGGGGAGATGAACGTCTGGGGACTTTGGACCCGGAGAGGGAGAGGAACTGTGTGATGACAACCTGGGGGGCGCAGGCATGTGGGGTATACTGTTTGGTTGGTTGATGATGCATGTAGGGGATTGTAACCATGTCAAGGAAACAATATGTAACGGGATCAATGTGAAACTAATGTCCTCCCATGTAAACTATCACATAATTCACAATAAAGCATTAAAAAAAATTTTAAACAACATATCACTATGGACAAATCTGCTACACAAGACCTTTTTAAAGTGTTCAAGAACAAAGATGTAAGTTTGAGGAGTAAGATGCACTTGACCTAAACCATGCTACTTTTAGTAGCCTCCTATACATGTGAAAGTTGGACAATGAATAAGGAAGACTTCAGAAGAATTGATGAGTTTGAGTTATGGTGTTGGAGAAGAATATTAAAAATACCGTGTACTGCCAAAAGAACAAACAAATCTGAGTTGGAAAAAGTGCAAGCACAGTGCTCCTTAGAAGTCAAGATGACCAACCTTCATCTCTCATACTTCAGACATATTATCAGGAGGGATCAGTCCCTGGAGAAGGACATCATACTTGGTAAAGCGGAAAGTCAGTAAAAGAGGAAGATGTTGGCCGTAGCGAGGTGTGTCAAGTACAACAGCGATTGTGAGATTGATGCAGGACCAGGCAGTGTTTCACTCTGTTGTGCATAGGGGCTCAATGTGTCGGCATCAACTTGATGGCACCTATCAACAGCAACAACATGCAAAGTTCTCTGTTTGAGGTTCATGGGGGCAGGTTAGGCTGGTGTTGACCTCTGGTCATCTTTGATCTCATGGTGAAGGAGCAGTTGGTGAGGCTGCAGGTGCTGTGTGGTTTTCTGGGCATTGTGGACATATTTACTGCCTCCCATCCTGTAGAACAGGGGGAAAAAAACAAAACAAAGGAAAATAAAACCAAAGAAGAACCAAAAAGAAAATAAAAGATAAAATTTAAAAGGATGGGCAAAGTAGGCAATGAAAATAATAAAGAAAAACAAGAAATAGATAAAAGAAAAATATGGGAAGAAAAAAGACTAGAATAATTAACCTGGGTAAAGGAATGAGAAAAAGTAAGCAAAAAAGAAAAATAAGGGAAGGGAAAAAGAAAAGGGAAACAAGGAAATAAAGAAAAAAGGAAGTCAGAGAAATAAATGAAAACAAAAACAAAGGTGGTGGTTGGTGGTTAAGTGCTGTGGAGTCGGTTCCAACTCATAGCAACCCTGTAGGGTTTCCGAGGCTGTAAATCTTTACCGGAGCAGAAAGCCTCATCTTTCTCCCGCGGAACAGCTGGTAGTTTCGAACTGCTGAACTTGCGGTTAGCAGCCAGAGAGCTACCAGAAAGTTCCTTTAAAAAAACAAAAAAGGTTGGGAAAGAAAATGAAAAAAAGAAAGCAGTTGGGCATCTGGGTGATGAACTTTCTTGCTAAGGAGGCGGTGGCGTGGGGGGAGTGGGGGTTGATAGGACTCCTCATAAGGGTCAGCACACTCTGCTGACTGAACATGTTACAAGGAGAGTGGAGGTGGCTGACCATTAGTTTATGATGGATGACTGGGGTGTGGACAGTTCACTTCATAAGGTCTTTCTGCCCTCTGAGAGGGCAGCTGGGGTCAGGACCCATGATCATGGAAGGAGTTCCTGCATTCCTAGAGTGCAGTTGTGGGTAGGGTACATGGTCCTGGATCTATTTCCTACTGGCACAGAATGTGGCTATGGTCTGGATGCCAGGTTTTGGAAGGAGTTCCTGACCATCCAGGGTATGAGTAGTGGGCAGAGCATGTGTCTGGCACTGGGACTCCTACCCAGAGGAGGTGGAGAGAGAGCATATGTCTCAAAATTCAGAGTGGCATGCTTCCAGTCTCCAGTCTGCAAGGGTGTGCCTCCTACTTCATGCAGAGCAGGGCCTGAACAGAGGGTGGTGTTGGGGGATGTTACTGGCTACCTGGGAGGTGAGTGTGGGGACTTGTCTTACTTCTGGTCACCTGAGGATATGGGGTACCAGGTGAAGAGTGCATCTTTCTGGTTATCAGCCATCAGTGTGGGTGCTTGTGCAGTCCTCAGTAAGCAGAGCAATTTATCAGTTTGTTGCTGTGGTTGAACACTACTTAGAAAAGTTCAGAATGTCTGTGCTGTGTCAGACTAGCTGACACTGTTCCATTTGTCTCCTTTGTTGCCGTTCTTACTTGTTTTCCCTCCTAGTCGCTATTCGTTTCACTTCTCTATCCTTACCTCCAAAGCCCAAGGTTTCAGGATTGTCATTTGTATCTGCTGCATTTGGTCTTTTGTATCTTTATGACACAGGATCTGCATAGCCTACCATATTGTTGGAAGTCCTGGACATTCTAATTTTTATGACTATTTGCCCAAAGACCTGATCACCAGTGTTATAAATGTTTCTTTTTAAACAGGATTAATCACTAATTTTAGATTCACTTTTCCAAATGACCTGTTGGTACTCCATGTCAAAGTAACATTGATCTTCACTGACCCAACTTGGGTCATGTGCAGACATAGCTGGCATGTGGGTGTAGTCCTGGCCTCTGGTGTGGGCCTTTGGCCAATGCACAGAAGCCAGTGGTCCCAGCACTGGCACACTCATGGCTCACCTGAAAAAGCTGTGCTGTTATCCCACTGATAGCTTCTTTGTTAGTGTTGTTAAATGTCAAGTTGGTTCTGATTCATAGCTAACCTGTATAGGGTTTAATGGCTGACCTTGTGGTTTGAAGTCCAGTTCAGATCCTGGTATCACACCACACCAGGGTATCTTCTGTAGGTTCACTTAATTGTACAAAGTCATCCTTATTTTCAGTTCTTACGTTTCTATCATTGTGTGTTTGACCAGAAACTCAATTGTTTTAGGTTCTAGAGGAGTTCATTTGTGAACTAGTTGTGAAACAATTGAAGCAACATCAAAATACAATGGAGGACAAGTTCATTGTTTGCTTAAACAAAGTTGTACAGCACTTCCCACCTCTGGCGGATAGGTAAGGGGGTCAGTCACAGTCCAAACTCTGTGGCCCATGAGAGAGTCTGGGCTATCCAGTTTCACAAATCATATTCATTGTTAGGTTTATGAATGCTGTGTTCTTCCTGCTGCCGAAATTCCATGGTGTAATGAAGACGCTGTGTCTGGAGGTGGTGCTTTGTCGTGCAGAAGAAATACCAGATGTCTACTTGGAGCTAATGAGCAAAGACTTCAAGCAGGTCATGAGACACAGGTGAGTGGAGAGTCAGGCACCGCCTTCTTTTGTTCAGCTTGCTCATAAAAACATTAATTCATTGAGATATCTCCTTCTGCTCATAAAGAACTTGTGAACACATTTAACATCCATATTTCAAGTAACATCCTGTTTATGATTCCCCTTATTAGAATCACCTTTAATGTCCATAAGTCTAGTAACAGTTTCTTGAAGAGAATCTGAGATATTTACAAACCCCTCAAAGCAATTCGAGCTTCTATCCATTACACAGTTTCAAAGCCACATCCATATTTTTAGGTATTTGTTTGGGAAGCGCCTCTGTTTTATGGTACCAAATTCTGCCTTAGATTTCTAGAGCTGTCATAACAAAAAATACCACAAGGGTGGCTTTAAAGAAGAGGAATTTATTATCTTACAGTTATGGAGGGTCGTTGTCAGAATGTCAGCTCCAAATAAAGGTCTTTCGACTGTTTCAGCTTCTAGTTGTTAAGTGCCATCAAATTGGTTCCAATCCATAGCGACCCTGTATAGGGTTTCTGAGGAGCTGCTGGTGAGTTTGAACCATTGATCTTGCAGTTCAAACAACTTTGCAGTCCCATTCATTAACCCACAGTGCCACACCAGGACTCCTAGTAGCTGCTGACAATTTGTCTCTGTCACCCACCCCACTCTGGCATAACCTCATTAACATAACCAGAGAAAGCTTCTACATAGCTTTGTAATTATAGATACAAGGGTTAGGACTGCAACATAAATGTTTTTGGGACCCAATTCAATCTATAACTGACACTAAAGAACATTTTAAAAGAAAAAGCTGACAATTTTATTATTTTTATTCCTTGTGCACTTTCCCAGGCCTGATCTATATACTAGGTGCTTCAGATAAGTTCATGGAAACAGTTCATCATCTCTTCATTCCATTTTCCATGAACTTTTGGAAGCCCTGTCATACATTTTTTATTTTTTCACATAAAGAAAGCTTACTGATAAATTTGTCATGTGGCAACAGCAGATAATGTATGTGATTGTATTCTGATATTCATCATTAAATATTTACTGAGTTTTCGCTGTGCATGAGGTAGTGTACTTAGGTGCTTTAAAAAGTGAAAGACACACTGTACCAGACTGTTCAGTGTGCTCCATTTAGGATCCAGTCTGCACTGACTCCCAGTATTGCCAGACTAGACTAGAATTTGGAATCATTTTTTTAAATCATGAAATCCTTTATAATTAGATTATTTTGCTTAATATTATCAGGATTTTGTTTTGCTTTGTTTTTTCAAAAAATCATTTTATTTTAGAATAATTATTAGGTTTATGAAAAAATTTAAAGATAGTATAGGGCCTCCCCATATACTTCGCTCCATTTCCCCTTCTTATCCAAGCATGACATGGCTTGTCAAAACTAGGAAATGAGCATTAGTACATTATCTTTCACTAAACTAGACTTTATTTGGCTTTTACCAATTTTTCTTTTGTCATTTTATTAATGTCTCTTTTCTTCTCCAGGATCCAGTTTGGGATACCTCATTGGATTAAGCTATTTATTTTTAATAATCTAGCCCATGATAATTATTTCAAAGAATACTACTATAATTCTGAATTATATGGCTGTAATTATATCTCTTATAACAAATTTTGACACTGTAGAACAGTTCAGAGAATGTTACCTATATTAACTTGAAAGCACAATAATAAAATTGTTAAATTTGCTCTTTTTATAGAGATGATGAAAGACAAAAAGTATGTTTGGACATAATTTATAAGATGATGGCAAAATTAAAACCAGTAGAACTTCGAGAACTTCTGAATTCTGTTGTAGAGTTTGTTTCACACCCCTCTCCAACATGTAGGGAACAGATGTATAATATTCTTATGTGGATTCATGACAATTACAGGTAAGCTGTAGATAGTTATGTCTTAGTTATCTGCTGTGGTTATAACTGAAGTACCATTGGTGGTTGGCTTTAATAAGCAAAATGTATTTTCTCAGTTTCAGAGGCTTTAAGTTTGAATTCATGGCCCTGATCCTAAGAAAAGGTTTTCTCTCTCTGCTAGCTCTAGAGAAAAGTCCTTGTCTCTTGAACTTACTTCATGATTCCCTGGAGATTTCTATGTGACTTGGCATCAGTATTTCCCATCTCTGCTGCTTCTCTTGCTTGTTTTAATCTCTCTCTCTTTTTTTTTAATTTTACTTGCATTTTTTTTTTTTAACTTTTTATTATGAACTGAGTGAAACTGAGTGATAGTTTACATGGGAGAACATTCGATTTACACCATCATTTCACTGCCATGATTACAATCTCCTCCGTGCATCATCATTTAACAGTATTTGCTTCCATTCCCTCTGAGGTTTTTTTGGTGGTATAGTGGGAGTGGGGAGGGGTGTACATAGAAACACTCAGGAATACATAATAATTTAAACAACCAAAGGGCACATTCTGCAAGCCTTCCTCCTGGTCACCAGCACCCAGTCCTTCTCTTCCCATGAGTCCAGAGTCCTCAGCTGCTCCTGCTAACCATGTCCTCATCTCTTCCTCCATCTCTGGTGTCTCTGCTTCTCTGGGTAGGGACCAACATTTCGCTTGTGTGCTTCTCCCTTGATGGTTCTAAGGTCCTGTTTCTGAACTGTAAGTTGTTTTAATCTCTTTTATATTTCAGAAGAGATCAACTAAAAACACACTGATCCTGCCTCATTAATATAACAAATCCAAACCATTCCTAAATGGGATTATGATCATAGGCATAGGAGTTAGTGTTTACGACATATATTTTGGGGGATGTTCAATCCATGGCATGGTACTTATTTTTAGGTGTTATTTCGGTGCCTTTAGCAGTCTGGAGTCCTGGTGTGGTGCTGTAGGCTAAACAGTGGACTGCCAGCTGAAAGGTTGACAGTTCAAACCCAACAGCTGCTCTTTAGAAACAGGGTCACTAAGGGTTAGAATGAACTCGGCAGCACTTAACAACAACAGAAGTCTGTAACATAATAGTAAGAATATAGATATATCATATGCTTTTTACCATAACATCGAGGTTATTTGGGTTCGGTGGTACAATTCTCTGCTACCCTGTGGGAGACCTGAATTTGATTCCCAGTCTTGCACCTCATGTGCAGCCACTTCCTGTCTCAGTGGCGGCTTATGTGTTACTATAATGTTGAACATGTGTCAGCAGAACTGTCAGACTAAGAGACTAGAAAGGAAAGCCTGGCAATGTACTTTCACAAATTGGCCAGTGAAAATGCTGTGGAGTAACGTGGTCCAAACTACAACTTCACCATTTTGTTCTTTTGTGCATGAGATCACCAGTAGGGGATGACTTGATGGCCACTAACAACAACCACATTTTTAATACATTAAAGTGAGATTATATGTTGTGGTTATGTGCCATTGAGTCAGTTCCGACCCATAGCGACCCTGTATAGGGTTTCCGAGGAACAGCTGGTGAGCTTGAACCACCAACTTTGCAGTTCAAACAGCTTTACAGTCTGGCACATTAACCCACAGTGCCATACTGGGATAGTCTCTTGAAATATATTCTTATTTTAGCTCATATTTGTACATGTCAGGGAGTAGGGATATTCAGCAAGTGAAATTATTAGCTGAGCTAAACATATAAGTGCCCTGCTTATAAATTTCTTTTCATGGTTATCCTTTGAGACCTGACAAGGTTAAAGAAACCATCCACTCCTGGGTGGTTTTCGTACTTCAGGAACACCGTCTCATCACTACCGCTGCCTTTTCTCACCACCCTGACCTTTTCTAGAACTTTGTAGTGTTTCCAGAGAGCCCTTCATCCCCGTTCGGTCAGCCCTCACTTTCTTACCATTTGTTTGTGAACTTCTGTCACCACTGGGTGGTGAGGGGTGCTGGTGACCAGGCGGGAGGCTGTGAGGGGTGCACACATGGTTGTTTTAACTGTAGAAGGTGAAGTCTAATCAAAGCCCAGATTTCTTTAATTATAGACAGTGTTATTGAGATTGAGCAAAAGTGTTAGAAGAAATTATTAAGATCTGGTCATTTTGTTCTTTTTCTTAAACAGAGATCCAGAAAGTCAAACAGATACTGACTCCCAGGAAATACTTAAGCTGGCCAAAGATGTGTTGATTCAAGGATTGATTGATGAGAATCCCGGGCTACAGTATGTGCTCCACCTAGAATAATTGAGCTAGACCAATTAAAGTTTTAGGGTTATTTCTTTCTAGACTAGCATCAAGAATATTTCTTTAGTTTGACAAGTATATTTGCAGAATTATCATTTTATCACTCCTGCTTTTATAATCACATTAAGAGAAAACGTAAAAATTCTGACCAGTTACATTGATATGAAACTCCTGAAAAAGTGGAATGGATAAAGTGTTCTTTGTCGGTGTTGTAAAGCGAAAGGAAAATTTGTAGTGTAAATATGTATCACTGATACATACTGAGAAGGTGCAGTGATTATGGAGGGATAAGAACCAGACTGCAAAGCTCAATGTTGGCAGTTCAAGCCCACCAGCCAGTCTATGGGTATAAAAGATGATTCCACAAAGATTTACAGCCTTGGAAACTCCGTACAGGGTCCTTTATGAGTGTGAGTTTACTCAGTGGCACATATCAACAACAACATACTAATATCAGATGAAATGCTAGAATTCTTGTGGCTATATGAATGGTTCATGCTAAGCTCTAAAACGCCTACCCTATGGTCAGTTAGTGAGTGTTTCATCAAGTCCCAATTTTATAAAAAGAAACATTTTTGTGAAATTCAGAATATCATTTAATTTTTCTTTTCTCTAATTTTGAATTCATTGAACTCTGTTAAATTATAGTATTTGGATTTTATTATGCTCTACTGTGAAGCTGTAGGATGAGCACTGAGGCTGTTAACTGCAATGTGGGCAGTTCAAATCCACCAGCTGCTCTTTAGAAACCCTAAACGGGGTTGGTATGAGTCAGAAGTGACTTGGTCACTTAACAACAACCAATAATCTATCTGGTTTTTAACTAACTGAAGTCTTGGGTACTTTATGACATTAATTATTAGAGTGAATTGTTTTAGCAAGGTAGTGATACCATTTCTAAAAGTGTTTTCTTAGTTTAAAATAGACAGATAATACTATGTACTCACTGAAAACTTCCTAGGTAATAGGGATGAGAATAAGGCCATCCATTTTCTCACCTCTTCTTAAATAGGCTAAATTTTTATAAAATTTCTCTTCTTCAATGTAGCTTTTTTTTGCATAATTTAGATTATGCTCTTGATATAATTTTGAATCTGGCTTCCGGCTCTGTTGAGGTTTGTCTAGATGGGAAACTGTCTTCCTCACATGCCACCATGTGTAGCGTATTCTTTCTTATTTGCTGATATCTAAGCATATGACTTTTTCTTTCTGCTTTACAGATTAATTATTAGAAATTTCTGGAGTCATGAAACTAGGTTACCATCACATATTTTGGACCGGTTGTTGGCACTAAATTCGTTATATTCTCCTAAAATAGAGATGCACTTTCTAAGTTTAGCAACAAATTTTCTTCTTGAAATGACCAGCCTGAGCCCAGATTATTCAAACCCTGTGTTTGAGCATCCTCTGTCAGAATGCCAGTTTCAGGTGAGGTGCTTCTTTCTATAACTAGTAATAAATATTGTAACCATTCCTTATTGTTAGTTAATAAAAAATTTCTAATAATGTTAAAAGTAGTTTTCTTCCTACTTTTGGAATGCTGTACAATTCTTTCGGGAGTATCTGCATATGCTAAGCCCCTGCACCCATTGCTCTCCACAAGACATACTCTGCTCACCCTTTCAACCTCATTTAAAGTTTGTCCTATGCAGCATTGCTCTTGCTGACCACCAGTGGAGACACCTGGTTTGCTTCTCCACCTGGCAGCAATAACAAAGTGTCAGGGTCTCTATATTAACAGCACACTTGGCTCAAGCTGGACTTGCCAGCTCTGCTGAAGGAGTTGCTAACTTTGTTTTGTCCACACTTGTATTCTTGGTATCTATTCTAGTGCCTGACACATGGTGAGTATGAAAGAACTATGTGAGTCATTTAACTTGGGTTTGCTTGTGGTGCCATTATTAAAAGTTACATAATGTCTTTGAATGCAGACGATTAAAGAGTAGCAGTTGTAGCTAGTTTTTCTTTATTTTTTATAGAGCTTTTATTGTGAATTCTGTGATAGCTTACCAAGCAGAACATTGGTTTTGCACTCAACCAATCATATTTTGTTTCACTGCAGTGATTACAATCCCCTCTGTGCACCATCAGTTAACAATATTTGCCTCTTTATCTGCTTTTTTTTTTTTTTCGGTGTACACAAAAACACGCAGAAACAGAATCATTTAAACAGCTAAGAGGTACATTTTGTAAGCCAGCCTCCTGCATGCCAGCATACAGCCTTTCTGTTTCCATGAATCTAGAGTCCTCAGCTGTTCTGTCTCTCCATGCCATCATCTCTGCCTTAATCTCTGATACTACTGCTTCTCTGGTTAGGACCCCATGTTCCAGTCATGCTCTTCCCTCTTGATAGTCCTCTGTTCCTGGAATGTAAGATTAACTACTCCCCCCTTTTTGTCATGCTCTTCCCCTCTTTCCCTCTTGATAGTCCTCTGTTCCTGGAATGTAAGATTAATTACTCCCCCCCTTTTTGTTACACAACTTCTACCTTTACAAGTGTGACAATCACAGTTAGTCATGATAACAGTTATTTACTATTGAAATCAAAGAGTCCTATCCCTATCTTCTTTCTCCAGACCCATCTAGACAAGATGAAATGTAATTAGTTTTTCTAGTGGGTAAAGTTATTCAATTGAAAGTTTTATCTTTGAAAAGGTTTCCCTCCAGCTGCTTTCCACAGGGTAATATAAACTATTTTACATATTTGCAGTTAGGTTTTACATACTGTTAGATTTTACATAAAAACATTTCAGTGTGGCTAACAGAAGGAACCATTAGTTGATAGGAAACTTTCTCACACACAGGAATACACTATTGATTCTAACTGGCGTTTCCGGAGCACTGTTCTCACTCCGATGTTTATTGAGACTCAGGCCTCTCAAAGTACTCTCCTGACCCGAACCCAAGATGGGTCCCCCACAGCTCAAGGACTGATGACTGGACAAGTGCGGACTACTCAGCAGCACTGGGACTTCACACCTACTCAAAACACAGGTAATCATTTACCTGAACACCTGCTGGTCAAGTAAATGAGATAAATAAACAAAAGGTACTCTGACTTGTAAAGGGGCTCTCTGCTTGCAAGAACATGAACATTTTATGAGTGGTGGTGGTGGTTGTGTGCTGTGGAGTTGGTTCCGAGTCATAGAGAACCCTATACAGGGTTTCCGAGGCTGTAAATCTTTACAGGAGCAGAAAGCCTCATCTTTTTCCCAAGGAGCAGCTGGTAGTTTCGAACTGCTGACCTTGTGGTTCTCAGCCCAATTTGTAACCACTGTGCTACCAGAGCTCCTTATAAGAGTTGGTTGGTTATGTGCCGTGGAGTTGGTTCCGACTCACAGCGACCCTGTACAGGGTTTCCAAGGCTGTAAATCTTTACGGGAGCAGAAAGCCTCATCTTTCTCCCGCGGAACAGCTGGTAGTTTTGAACTGCTGACCTTGCGGTTTGCAGCCCGATTCGTAACCACTACACTACCAGAGCTCCTTAGGAAGGAGAAAATAGTGAAATACTTTGAGAATCATATGAAAGATAGTTAAAGGAAGAATTGGATTTCTTTTGTTTGGAGAAACCAGGAGACATTTCCACACATGTGTGTTGGTTTATTGTCCAGAAAAATCTGTTGGATGTCTTGAATTTAAAATGTCTTTTACAACCAAACACCACATGCAGTTTGGTTTATTGGTTTGAAAGTTTTGGGTCTTGGTTTTGTATGGGATATCACATTTAATTCAGCTAATACTGTGTCTAAGGAGCTCTGGTAGCGTAGTGGTTACGAATCGGTCTGCGAACATTAAGGTCAGCAGTTCGAAACCACCAGTCGCTCCACAAGAAAGATGAGGCTTTCTGCTCCCATAAAGATTTACAGCGTCGGAAACCTTGTACAGGGTCGCTGTGGATCGGAACTGACTTGACGGCACATAACAACAACAACAACAACAATACTGTGTCTATTTCCTAGTTTGTTGCATAGTGCCTGGGATCTTAAAAGCTTGCAGGTGGCCATCCAGGGTGGTCTCTTTTTGCATGAAATGATGACGGAATGAGGAGAGTTGGGAGTAAGAGGCGGCTATGAAATGTGTGGCTAATTGCCTCCACAAACAACTGCTTTCATTGCCATGCAACCAGAGAATACGATGGTGCCTGGCTACCATTACTGACTGTTTGGATCAAAGATTCTATAGAAGAATGATGATCAACAGGAGAAAATTGAGAACAGAATTTCAAAGTCTCATGAGATTGTCTTTCTAGAATCACGGAGGGTGGATGAACCCTGAAACTGTTACCCTGAGTTGTAAATCAAAAATGCCCCTGAAGTTTTCTTTAACTAATAGTCTGAATTCATTAATAGAGGATGTCTGCCTTGCACATTCTCTTCTTTTAAAGATCTGTATGAGAGCAAACTGACAACAGCAACTGAAAGAGACAGGAGGCGTAGGGGCCGTGAATTTATGTAAATGGAGAAGGTATCGTGTGGAATAGGAGGGTGAGAATGGGTACCCAGCTTGAAGAATTAATTGATGTCACTAAATTATACTTGCAGAAATTGTTTAATTAGTTTATGTTCTGTGTATATTTTCAACAAGTATAATAAATTATTTGTATTTAAAAAAAACAAAGTACAGTAACCTAAATTTATTGATTGTGTTTAGTTCTTTCTTTAAATGGTTTAACTGTTGCCTTTGATCAGCAAACTACAGTTTGTATTATTGTTGTTAAGTGCTGTCAAGTCGGTTCCAACCCATAGCGACCCTCTATAGGGTGTCCAAGGAACAGCTTGAACCGCGGACCTTGCAGTTCAAACGGCTTTGCAGTCTGACACATTAACCCACAGCGCCACACCAGGACTCCATAGTTTGTATGTTGTTGTTGTTGTTGTTAAGTACCGTGGAGTTGATCGGTTCCGACTCATAGTGACTCTGCACAGGGTTTCTGAGGCTGTAAATCTTTACAGGAGCAGAAAGCCTTACCTTTCTCCCGCAGAACGGCTGGTAGTTTCGAGCTGCCAACTTTGAGGGTAGCAGCCCAATTTGTAGCCACTATGCAACCAGAGCTCCTTACAGTTTGTATAGTGAAATATAAATAGCTGAATAATTTTCTATAAGCTCTTGAAAGTTTTTCCTTGATACAGTTTTTCCATTTCTACTGCAGTCCTGGTGTGGCTCAGTAGGATAAGCACTGGACTGCTAAACACAAGCTCCTTGGAAATACTGTATAGTATTGTTATGAGCCAAAACTAACTCAACAGCACATAACATTAGTTTCCAAAGTAGAACTAATTCATATTATTAACAAAGGAAATTTTATGACACTGATACTCGAAATTCTGTAAGTTTAGTACCAAGTAAGACAGTTATATCCTGTAACAGACAGAATAGAATCCTTTAATATTTCAAGTCAAGGCTTGAATTTTTTTTTTTTCTTCAGTTCTTTCAGCTTGAGAAATGCTGAGTGTGTTCTTCCTTTTAGGTTTTCTAACTCCAGGTCTTTGCACTTTTCATTATGATTGTTTACTTTGTGTTTACTTTGTCTTCTCAAGCTGCCCTTTGAAGTTTTCTGTTCAGTTCTTTTACTTCCTCGTTTCTTCAATTTGCTTTTAGCATCTCTACACTGGAGAGCAAGTTTCAGATTTTTTTCTGACATCCATTTTGGTCGTTTCATTCTTTCTTGTCTTACAATATTGAAGGATTCAATTGACAAAATATTGAATGATGCAGAAAGCATCAAAAGAAGATGGGGAGAATATTCAGTCACTGTACCAAAAAGAAATAGTTGGTGTTAAACCATTTCAAGAGCTAGCCATATGATCAAGATCCTGTGATGCTGAAGGAAAAAACCCAAGTTCACTGAAGGCACTGGCAAAGAACAAGGCTCGGGGAATTGATGGGCTACAAATTGAAATCATTCAACAAACTAATGTAGCACCGGTGGTACTTATTGATCAATGCCAAGAAATTTGGACGACAGCTACCTGGCTAACCGACTGGAAAAGATCTGTATTTGGGCCCATCCCAAAGAGAGCGACTCAGTGGAATGCAGGAAACATTGGACAATATCATTAATATTACATTCAAGTAAAATTTTGCTAAAGATAATTTAAAAATCACCTGCAGCAGTTCATTGAAAAGGAGCTGCCAGAGGTTCAGACCGAACGCAGATGGGAACATGGAACAAGTTATATCATTGCTGAAGTCAGATGGATCTTGACTGAAATCAGAGAATGATATTTACCTGTGCTTTATTGACTACACAGAGGCTTTCAATTGTGTGGCTCATGACAAGCTCTCAGTGACACTGTGGAGAATGAGTATTCCAGAACACTTATTTGTGCTCATGAGGAACCTACATAGACCAAGAGGAAGTCGTTGGAACACAACAAGGGGACACTGAATTGTTTAAAATTAGGAAAGATGTGCAGAAGACCCCCAATGAGATGAATTGGCACAATGACAGCAACAATGGTTCAAGCGAAGCAATGATTGTGAGATTGCTGCAGGATGGGGCAGTGTTTCCTTCTGTTGTATGTAAGGTTGCTGTGAGTTGGTACTGACTTGATGGCACTTAACAGCAAAACAACAATAGATTGAAAGCTTTAATCACCCCAGCAGTTTACTTCTTATTTACACAGACTGCCTCTCCATCTTACAGCCCCACCTACACTTCTGTTACTCTCCTCCCTACCACAGGTGAGTGCCTGGGAGCTGAGAGTCTGTGGATTCTTCTCCATAGCAGCGTGGCTGCTGAAGAAGAGTCTTCTCCCTCAGTGTGCTGCAGCTTCCCTGCCTTATTGCTTGCAGGTGTGTGTATGTGCGGACCTGTCTATTTGTAAGACGTGTTCTAATATGTTCTGACGTACCCGTTTGTAGATGGAAGAAGCTCCTTTAACTGGCTAACTGGAAGCAGCATTGACCCGCTGGCAGATTACATGGCCTCACCGTCATCTGATGCCCTGTCTTCCTCCTTGCTGTTTGTCCATAAGAGGAGGGAAAAAGCACCAAGATCATCCTTGAAGCCAGTGGGACCTAATTTTGGGAAAAAGAGGCTGGGCCTTCCAGGTGATGAGGTGGATAACATGGTTAAAGGTAAAGCAAGGTTGCGGAAAATATTTACGATACCCTGCCCTCTAAATGAGTGCAGGCTGTCTTCTTGGTCTGTTTTCTAACTGTATCCATATTTTTATGCACCCTGTAATTAAGTCCTTTACAGTTGCATTCAGTGATGTTGACCTTGTTGAAAGCACAGCTTTAAGGTGTTCTGGAAAAAGTTTTAATAAATGAAACTCAGCCCATTCACTTAGAGACTTTGTAGGTCATGGGGGTAGAGAAAAGCAAGAAAATGGTCATTGAACTTTTTTGTGGTACTGTTAAAAAAAAAAATACCATAAGTGAGTAGCTTTAAAGAGCAAACATACTGTCTTACAGTCTGGAGGCTGAAGGTGTTTGCCAAATCAGTTCCTTCTGTGAGTATCTCTCCCAGTTTCAGGTGTCTATTGGCAGTCCTTGGCTTTCCTTTGTTTATAGATAATCTTCACCTGTCTGTAATCTTGTGGCGTCAGACCCCGTCTCACTTCCTAAGAGAGAATCAGAATCACCATCAATCCAAAGTTGATTCCACTGAGATGGAAGTCAGACAGCTTTTTTATTTTTTACCTTTCTGATTCCACCTCTCCTCCCTGCAGCACTCTCTATTTCTCTGCTGGGTGTGATAAGTCCTTGCATTGGCTACACGGAACTCACGTCTCATACTCATGATTATGTGCTTTATTAGGGAAGTAACACGATACAGCTCAGGAGAGAGGATGAAGTTTGTCTAACCAAGACAGCTCTCAGTTGTGCCCAGTGGCAGTCCTCTCGGCCATGCCTGGCTCCAGTTCTCACTCTCAACTGTGCCCACTGCCAGGCCTCACTGTAGGCCTCTGACTTGCTCAGGCAAGTGGACAAACAGCTCTTTAGCTTCACCAAGTGCCCAGAGGCACACGACTCCACCAGCAAGCCTCCTGTCTTACTCTCTATCACTCTGGGCCTGCAAGCCCACTGCAGCTGTCTGACACCAGTCACCTGGTTCTCGTTGCTCATATTGCTTCCCCTTTTCATGCCATCTCCAGTGTTAACAGTTCTCTCTTTTATATTTAAGACTTTTTTTTGCTCCAGACTCATCTTGGTGTTAGTGATGGCCCCCTATAACTACCTTATAAACTTAGCAAGATGACAAAACTGACCAATTCCTGTAAGAGTTTTACATGCCTTTTTTTTTTTTTCACATGCTTTTTTGCATGGTTAATTGTCCAATCCCTTTTCATTATTGTTGCCTAGCAAATTGTCTTGGCAGAACTACAAAGTCTTGGCCAGAATACAAGCAAATGTTTGGATTGAGTCTCTCAAAATATGTTTTGAAATTCTGTCGATATGCTGTTAGGGTTTAATACTGTGATTACATCAATTGACTTTGGGTAGAGAAAATTACCTTCCATAATATAATGAATGATCAATTCTAATGATAATTAGATAATCAAATTAGATCATCAAATCTAATGAAATGTATCCCCATTGAAGTCATACCAGGTTGCATCCTTTATACTAATCAGAAAGACACATGTATGGGGTGAGGGGATGGGGGAAGAGAGAGGCAGATGGATCTCCAAGGATTGTCCCAGATAGATCCAGAAGACCATTTCCTAGAACCACACCCTGAATTTGAACTTCTAGTCTCCTGGACTGTGAGGAAATAAATGTCTGTTCTTTAAAGCCACTCACTTGTATTTCTGTTAAAGCAGCATTAGCTACGTCTAGCTAACTAAGACAGCAAACAATCTCCGTTTTTTTGATGGAGACTCTGAGCAGGAGATGAGAGTGACAACATTGTTGAATTGCCCATCTCTGACTTTATCTTCTTCAGGCACAGATGACCGGACAGAAATATTACGATTGCGTAGGCGATTTTTAAAGGATCAAGGAAAGCTCAATTTGATTTATGCCAGAAAAGGTGTTGCTGAACAGAAACGAGAGAAGGTGTGTATCTTTTTCAGGCATGTGATTGGTTGGGAATGTCTGTCTGGTGTCACATGCTGTAAGTAAGGTGCTGGTTCATGTAGCTGCCCTTACCATCGTCACAGAACAGCACTGCATGAAGTAAGGCTGGTTATGAACCACAATCTCCTCTGACATTTCTGAGGTCGGGGCACCATTGGAGTGGACCTGGTGAGTTTTCTACGTGTGTCTTCAGTGGGGGCCTGGCTCGTCAGCACCAGGATCTGTTTGACTACCTCTTAACCTCCAGCTCTCCCTGAAGATCAGACCCATCCTTCTCTGTGCAGGATGGCTTTCTCTATGTAGAGGAAGATGCCACTTCCTAATTCCTGAAATTTATACCTTACAGCTTCCCTGCTTGAAGGCATTGGTCCCCTTCTGTCTCAAACTACAGCCTGTGGCTCAACTCATTAACCCTCCCTGGGTCATGGCCACTGCTGTGATCTGGGGGTGAAACCCTGTTGTAATCAGCTATTCTCCTGGAGGTATCTGGTGAGGAAGAGTATAAGCCCCCTTCATGAAAATTGAAATGGTTTTCAAAATATGAAGTAACAAAAAGAACTTGTTTAGGCTTACCTTCTGTTTTGCTTATTAACTAGTAATTATAACATAATTTGCCAAAAAAAAGACAAGGTAGATTATAAGAAAAACACTGTCATTGTCTTAACTCAGTTTTAAATCCTTAGCTAGTTAATTAACTTCCAAATCTAAATATGACATTGTTGGCTGGTTCCAGTGTATTTACTGTGGGGAAAGAATGAAGTCTTCATCTTACTCCTATCTGTCTTATTTTGGAGTCACTGGTGCAGTGTTGGAGTGGCCTGCCAGCTGAGCAGTCATTCTGAGCTCCTATTAAGCTAAAGGGAACAGTTAAGTCTAGTCCGCAGCAGTCCTTGTGAGGCTGTGGATCAGCGTTGGACTGCGAACCTCTAGGTTGGCAGTTCAAACCCACACCTCCTCGGAAACCGTGTACAGTTTCCAGAACCGATTTGATGGCACTTAACAACAACAACCAACCAGCAACAGAAGGAACCCTGATGGCAAAGTAGCTAAATGCTCAATTGCTAACTGAAAGGTCAGCGGTTCAAATCCACCAGCTGCTTTGCAGGAGGATGTGGCCATCTTTTTCCATAATGTTAACAGCCTTGTAAACCCTCTGGGGCAGTTTTGCTGTGTCCTACAGGGTCACTATGAGTCAAATTGACTCAATAGCAATGGATTTTTAAGTCAGGGTTGCTGGATAGAGATTGCAGGAAGGTGTTTCATGTGAAACAACACAGAGGGGGGGCATGCAGCAGTGAAGTGCCCAAGCTAAGCAGGGCCGGCGAAGGGGGGAACACCCCTTGTATGTGTAACTTTTTGTCATTGTCACTTGTGGCCCATTGAACAAATAAATACTTTACTTGGGAAGCATTGTGCTCTCTGCCCGGCACTGTACCAGGTGCTAGTGTGTAGTAGTGGCAGACAAGACCCTGTTTTAGGCCATGGCATGCACAGTGTCGAGAATAAGCCAGTCAGGAGCACATCTGGGAAGACCTGTGCTAAAGGAGGCAGACCAGAAAGCGTTTGGGAAGAGATTGTGTTTGAGATGGGCACAGACTGTTTGTAAAAAGCTGGAGGAGACGTTACACCCCACTGGGACAGAAGGGATAAGGCAGGGGTCACTGGAGCCCCAGCCCTCGGACAGGAGTTCCTAAAATGATCCACATCAAATTCATCCATTTTATGACGATCCAGATTACTTTGAGATGAGCATTTCTGTAAGTTTTTACTGTTCATCTGTCATAGTAATTTTTACCATGGCTTTATCTTCTCCCACTGAGCATTGGCATAGTGACCAAACCATTGCCAATAAAATTATCATTGCTGAGCCAAAAAAGAGTTGTAATTTCTCTTTTCTCATAATCCTACATGCCAAAAGATGGCCACTGACAGTTTTGTATCTCAAACAGTGTGGATTTTCTGAAATAATTCTAAATTAACTTTTTATTTTTTCTAATTATTACAGGTGATTAAAAGTGAGTTAAAAATGAAGCAGGATGCCCAAGTCATTCTGTACAGAAGTTATCGACAAGGAGACCTTCCTGACATTCAGATTAAGCACAGCAGCTTGATCACCCCCTTACAGGCTGTGGCCCAGGTATGTCCCTGAGTGCTCACGTTTTCTATTACCAAGCGGGTTTCAGTTGAACAGTTTTAGGGTCTACTCCATTTAAGGCAAAATGGTTCATGCGACACTGGGTTGTAAATGAGATGTTGACTCACGTAGATGTGGACTTGGTTAAAAGACCTTGTTGTAGGCTTAGCTCTGCCATTTGCTGGTTGCATGCTTTCTTTCCATGTGGTGAGACTCAGTGTTATCTAGGAGTACATCAGCTTGGATTTCTGTGCCGCTGTCAGGTTGCTTAAGGCTCTGAGCCAGTATCTCTAGCTATACAATTAGAGCATGAAACCAATTTTCCTTCCTCAGTAAGGGTCAGTAAGTCAGAGTAACACTGTGTGTCAAATATCATCATAAACTTTGAAATGCAAGCCACTTAAATCACTGCTTATGCAAAATAGTTTTTAGGGGGATCAGAGGAGCATTAGTTTAAGCAGTAAGGTCTTTGCTAATATTTCTAGAAGGCTGGAAATATTTTTGTAAGTCATTGTTTGGGTATAAAATAATGTGTCAAGAGTGAATGAAATTTGCTAGTTGAATTATTTGTCAAAAATATATTATTTATCTCCGAGGGACTGATTAACATTGTCTTTGATTTACATTGCAATAACATTTTTAAAAAATATCTAAAAATTATATTTCCTTATTTCAAAATGTATGGTTCAGTGCATTATGCTACACACTGAAATATTTCAACAAACTATGGCACCAACCATTCCTCTCACAACCCTTTTTGCTTTTTAGTTGGATTTGATAATCCAGTGCAATGACCACACAGAATTTAGACAGCATCCTAACAGTTATTAGAGAAGTTAACAGATTACAATACATTGTCAGAAATGCTCAGGACACAGTTCCAGTCAGCTGCTGATAAATGCCCACAAGACACACCACTCCACCAAATGCCTCATCTTGAAGGCATGTGCCTTTAGCTCCGTGGGTCTAGCTGGGCCCCAACTTAAGTGCCTAGAGGCATACCAGTAAGCTTCCTGTTCAGAGTCACTCAGCTCTACCTGCTCTGTGGACTGGGAAGTTCACTGCTCTGGTTCTTGATTCTGCTGCTGCCACTCCTCTGGTATTACAGCTTTCTGTCTGTCCATGGGTGGAGGAGGTTCACTTCACTTGGGGTCTGAAGGGTGCACTCCATTCCTGGCTCTTCTTTGATGGTTGTGAGACCCCTCCCACCCCCACTCCTGCTTCTGAGATGGCTTATCTTAAATCCATGCAAGAGGTTCAAGGTTTTACAGTTACGATGAACTCTACGAACGTTCAAAGCTGAATCATGTCATCCTTTCAAATATCTTCTCCCACCTTCTCTTAACCAGACCCAGCAAGGCAGAAACATTTGGTGGTGGGAGTTACAGACTATGACTAGAAGAGACATTAGATAATTCATTACACCACAAATATAATGCCTTATAGTTTACTGTATTTACCTTTGCATTATTGATTTATCATAGTAAATTTCAGATGCCTACTCCTGTATTGGACTCCTGGTGTGGTATTGTATTATCAGTAGCTGAACTGTCAATCACAAGGTTGGCGGTTCAAACCCACCAGCTGCTCCTTGGAAACCCTATGCAGGGTCACTATGAGGTGGAATTGGCTCAGTGACACTTAACAACAACTCCTTTATTATTTTTTAAATTCCTTATTTTGAAATAATTATAGATTTACATGAAGTTGCAAATACAGAGTCCCTTGTAGCCCTACACCCTACATCACCCCACGGTGATAGCGTACCTAACAGTACTGCAATATCCAGATCTAGACGTGGACCTGGATGCAGGACTGTTTACTAAACTGCATACCTTATTCAGCTCCTTCCTTCTCTATGCATTCATTTGGGTGTGCCTGATTCTCTGCATTTTTGTCCCATCTGCGGATTAAACCTTTTTTTAAATTTTTTAATTTTTGTCCCATATAACTACTAAACCTTTGCTATTACAAAGTGCTTTCATACTCTCTTTACATTCTCCGAGTCATCCTTGGAAGGAAGACAATTATTAGACTGATGAAGAAGTCAAGATTTAGCAGGGTGCTGTGTCAGGGCAGGAAAGAGGTGAGGACCAGATGCCCATGCTCTTGCTTCCCTCCCATCACTTCCAGGCTCCCTAGTGTCTTGTATGAAGTACTCATGTCACTGCCTCATCTACTAGTCATCCCACAGGAGAAAGATAGGCTTTCTGTTCCCCTAAAAACATACAACCTCAGAAACCCTATGCAGGGTTGCTATGAGCTGGAACCGACTCAGCGGCACATTACCACCACCACCAATATGCTTATGAAATTTGGGCAATGAATGAATAAGAAAGACTGTAGAAATTTTGATGCATTTGAGTTACAGTGTTGGAGAAGAATACGAAGGTGCCATGGACTGCCAAATGAACAAAAAAAAAAAATCTGTTTTGGAAGAAGTCCAGCCAGAATTCTCCTTAGAAGCGATGATAGCAAGACTTCATTACTTAAGCTTCACACATGTTATCAGGAGGAACCAGTCCCTGGAGAAGGACATTGTGCTTGTAAAGTGGAGGGTCAACGAAAGTGAGGACGACCTCCAATGAGGTGGATTGGCACAGTGGTAGCAGCGGTGGTCTCACAGTATAACAGCAGTTGTGAGGATGGCCCAGGACACAGGACCTGGTAGTGTTTCATTCTGTTGTGAATAGGGTTGCTATGAGTTAGAACCAACTGGATGGCCCATGACAACAACAAGACATAATACTCAAGAAGTAATGAATTAAGCACACAGACACCTATCTACCATATATTAAGTGAAAAAAAATAAACATAACTACCTAACGATACTTTATATACTATATTTTTTTGTATGTGTCAGGAAAAAACCAGCAACACCACAAAATGGTAAACCATTTGAGATCAAAAGGGCAGCATTTATCTAAGGACAAAAATTCTGAAGAGTAAAGAAGGAAGGAGGAATGGAATAAGAAACACAGGGAGGAAGTGGGATAAGTGGTGTGTTACGTTGAGGGAATTGCCATCAAGATGAAACTGTGTGTGATGTGTTGAGTGGAAAGCTGATGATCTGCTTTGTAAACCTTCACTCAAGTCACAGTGAAACATTGAAAAAGAAAAGGCCAACTGTCGTTAGCAGTGACTTGTCACTATAGTATAATTATGGGTGGTGTTTATTTATTTATTCCTAATCCATATTTTCTAACGTTTTTTACATTGTTACTGTGGTTGTGAAGTGCCTTCAAGTTGGTTCTGACTCATCACAATCCCTGTATAGGGTTTTTGAAAAGTAGCTGGTGGGTTTGAACTGCCGACCTTGTAGTTCCCTACAGCGCCACACCAGGACTATATAGTAACTATTATAACTTTTCGTAAGTCACTTAAATTGCTTAGAATAGATTTGTGCTTTTTATCCAGACATAGCTTATATCTAAAGGAGCTCTGGTAGTGTAGTGGTTATGAATTGGGCTGCTAGCCACAAGGTTGGCAGTTCGAAACTACCAGGTGTTCCACGGGAGAAAGATGAGGCTTTCTGCTCCCGTAAAGATTTGCAGCCTCGGAAACCCTGTGCAGGGTCACTAAGAGTTGGAACCGACTCCATGGTACTTAACAACAAGCTTTTGTCTAACTAAATAATTTAAACTTTTTATTCATTCATATGTGCACACCTTCATTTAGCCACTATAGATACTAAGTCATGTTGTTGTTAGGTACCGCCAAGTCAGTTCCAACTCATAGGGACCCTCTATACACAACAGACTAAAGCACTGCCAGGTCCTATACCATCCTCACAATTGTTATATTTGAGCCCATCATTGTTGCCACTGTGTCAATCCACGTTGTTGGTGGGTCTTCCTCTTGTTTGTTAACCCTCTACATTTACAAGCTCGATGTCTTCCTTGGGGACTGATCCTTTATCCTAAGTCATAGACTATGAGTAAGTCATCATTAATCCAATTCCAATTCTATTCTATTCTGTTCTACTTCTATTCTGACACTAATGACAACAAATTCAGTAGTTCATCTTCTGGCACTGACCAGAGGTAGGTCAGATCTCACAAGCTCAGTGACACAGCCCTTCAGACAGCCAAGTTGTCCAAAGACTTCAGATGCCAGCCACAAGCTTAGGAGTTCCTGGGCCCTGTTACTTCTGACCTGCTAGCTCCTCCTACTCCCTTGAGTATGATAATTTGCTAGAATAACTCACAGAAAGTTGCTATATTTATTCTTAAGAGTTTCATAATTACAAAAAGGAAGCAAATGAACAGCTGCATGGCGAGGTCAGAGAAGGCTCCCAACATTGAGCTTCCATGTTGGGAAGTGCACTGATGGAGCTTCAATATCTAGAACCTTTATTTATTTGGGTCTCATTTGTAGTAATACTTAATTGAATAATTGCCCCATATTGTTGAACTCTACCTCCAGCCCTCTGTCATTTTCTGAGGTCAGTTGATGCCACACAGTGGGTCTTTCTGACCTGAGCATCCCCTCACAAGAATCTCCTCATTAGCTTTGGTATGGTTTCAATCCTTCTTAGATAATCAAATATACATCAATTGTTGGAGAGATTCTAATATTTTAGAGGTTATCTCTCAGGAATCAAAAAAAGACGAAATTCTTTGGATAAAGTTACCTGTAAACTCCACAGATACTGTCTGCCAGGAACTGTTTTTTGGTGCTGCCATGATAGACCTGAATAATACAGTATCTCTGAGGCCAGAAAGCCCAGACTCACATGGTGGGTACCAGCCACTGGTAGCTTTAACAGTTTAAATGACTGTTACCTTGATTTAATGATGGGACTTTAATGATTGATATTTTATTTCAGTCCATCAATTAGTAATTTGATGTGCACACAATACCTAAAATTTAAATAAATCTTTCTCTGAGAGTTTATCAAGTATTGTACTAAACAGGTGACATTGATTTTCTTGACTGATGTTCACAGTGACCTTGAATACATTCTATTGTGTCAGAGATGAGAAAAGTGATGCTATTAAGCCAGCTGTCAAAATCTGTCAAATTCAAATCTCCATGTCCTATGCCTTTTATAAGATACATATCGAACAGATTTATTTGTTTAAATTCCAGATACTCCCCTCTCAATGCCTGTTAAAGCATTCTAGATAGAATTGGGATGTGTACTAGCTATATTTGCACTGGTTTGCATTGTTCAAATGAAAGTCTGATGGTATTGGTGAATTACAGTATTTTGCTCCATATTCTAATGTGTCTTTGTTTTGCATATTTTACAGAGAGACCCAGTAATTGCAAAGCAGCTCTTTGCCAGCTTGTTTTCTGGAATTCTAAAGGGGATGGATAAATTTAAGACCATGTCTGAAAGAAACAACATTACTCAAAAATTACTCCAGGACTTCAATCATTTTCTTGATACCACTTACTCTTTCTTTCCACCTTTTGTCTCTTGTATCCAGGTAAAAGTGTTCCCACACGTGATAAAATATGCATTGTATTGTTTGCTTCACATGCTATAAACTTTGCTTATGAAGTTCAGACTCTTGATAATGACAGAGTGTTTAAAAGGATAGGTGAATGTTTGAGTTATTTCATCCCAAGTGGGATTGTTGTTGTTAAAGTGCTGTTGAGTCAGTTCCAACTCATGGCACCCTGTATTGGATTTGTGAGGAGCAGAAAGCCTCATCTTTGACCCATGAAGCCATTTAGTGGGCTCAAACCATCAACCTTATGGTTTGCAGTCCAGTATTTATTATAGGTATAATTTCTTTGCAATATTCCCGTAAAAATTATATGACAAAACAGTCAGAAATCAAACCATATAAAAGTACTTTATTTTGTAGTAAGCTAATCCCTTTAGTGCTTTCATGGACGCTTGTATTTTGCTTAGTTGCTTTTCCTTATGTAATATTTTACTAATTTAAAAAACCAAATCAGTTGCTGTCAAGTTGATTTCGACTCAGTGGTGACACCTTGTGTATCAGAGAAGAACTGTATGTTCCATAGGATTTTCAGTATTTGAGTTTTTAGAAGTAGATACCCAGGCCTTTCTTCCAAAGTACCTATAGGAGCTCTGGTAGCATAGTGGTTACAAGTAGGGCTGCCAACCTCAAGGTCAGCAGTTCGAAACTGCCAGTGGTTCCGTGGGGGAAAGTGAGGCGTTTTGCTCCGGTAAAGATTTACAGCCTCGGAAACACTGTGCAGAGCCACTATGAGTCAGGGCCGACTCCACGGTACTTAACAACAACAACAACATGGGTAGATTAGAACTGCAACCTTTCAGTTAGCAGCCAAGCACATTAACTAATTTAGGCCACTCAGGGACTGCCATAATTTATAAATAGGATTTCTGTATTGTTTTTCACCTGGCCACACTAAGATAAAAGAGATTTGAAGAATTAAGTATTGCCTCAGCCAATATTTCAGCATACATTTCTCTTTGCATTCTATTCTGAAGTGACTTTTAAAATCATAATTGCTAGTGTCATCCATCTTTTATTTCTACCTTGTTTGGGAAGATCCTTAATCATTGTTAAGTAAACAGATGCCCTCTGTGGCTCTCCTTTTGTTGTTAAGTGCCATTGAGTTGATTCCAACCCATAGCGACCCTGTATAGGATTTCCAAGGAGCAGCTGGTAAGCTTGAACCACTGACCTTGCAGTTCAAATGGCTTTGCAGTCTGGCGCAGTAACCCACAGTGCCACACTAGGACTCCATGGCTCTCCCTGGGGCTGGCCAATTTGCAGTGACTGTGGGAAGGGCATTGCAGATGCAGAGCAGTGCCTGCATATGTGCTGTTGCTATTAGAACTGTCTACCTGAGGCTCATGTGTAAAACTAGGTTTCCTCTTTATGGTCTCCTGAATAGCATTTGTAGGTCTTCTTTTTTACATAATATCTAATTGTATTTTCAGTGAAGGTTTACAAAGCAGGTGTAGGTTCCCCTTCAACGTTTTTTACACAATTCCTCAGTGGCATTGGTTGTCACAATGAATGAACATTTTCATTACTTTGTTCTGGTTGTTCTTTTCCATACACTCACGTATACGTATACCCATATGTTGTTACTGTTGCTGTTGCATGCCGTCATGTCTGTTCCAACCTATAGCTACCTTGTATAGGGTTTCTGAGAAGCGGCTGGTGAGCTTGAACCACTGACCTTGTGGTCCAAACCAACTTTGCATTCCAGCGCATTAGCCTACAATGCCACACCAGGACTCCTATGAGGTGCTAGTTATCTACTTTTTCTGTTGATCATGCATTAATTGTGTTTCATAGTCTATCATCAAACAAAATTAGGTTCTAAAACTTTGCTATAATATTTTCTTCCAAGAAATTTTTGACTTTGGATTTAATGTTTAGGTCCTTTATCCCTTTTTTAAAAAATTATTGTGAATTAAGTTTACAGAGAAAATCATCAGTTTTACATTCAACAGATCATACACTTTCATCTCAATGATTGCAATCCCTTTTGTGGCATAACAATTACATCACTTCCTCCCTGTGATTCCTATGTCCATTCCACCCTCCTTCCAGTGCCTTCTCAACTTTGTCCTTAGGTCGATGTTGCCCTTTTGATCTTGAATGGTTGATGTTTCCATGGGGAGCATACCTCACTAGTATTATTGCCCCTCTGGTGTGGTGCTGTATGGTAAAGCACTGGACTGAAGGTCATTTGAATTGCAAGGTTGGTGGTTCAAACTCACTAGCCAGTCTTTGGAAACCCTATACAGGGTTGCTATGATTTGGAACCAACTTGATGGCACTTAACAACATATATACCGCTTAGCTTATAACTGGGGCACAAGGGTAAGTTCCATTCCAGACCCAAAGAGTGTCCACCAGAGTGTCCTCTGGTCTCTTCTTGAGCTATTTTAAATTAGTTTTTGTGTATGGTTAACAGAACTTTTTTTCAGTCAAGGGCAAATGACTGTTTCTATAAGGCCCTGGCAACCAGGATGTCCCTGCCTCCTTCATAGCAGGACATAATCTACTAGGCATTCTTCTGATGTGCTTTGATTGAACAACTGCAGGAATAATTTCTTTGAGAGGTATCTGCATAAGGCTGGTTCCTATGTGATGGTTAAAGACATCCGAAATGTCTGACTTTTCCAAGATGATGTACCATTCCAGAATCCCTGATACCATTACCACTCCTTCCCTAAGTAGTCTTCCTCTCATCCCAGCATTCCTCAATGTCTCACAGAACTCAATGGCTCACACGATTCTGTAGACTGGGAAGTACCAAATCTATAGTTCAGACATCGGTTTGGAGGATTCTCCTAACCCACTAGTCTCTGAAACCCAAATTGGCAGGCCAGATGGCAGGATGTTGATGCACAAGGCTACTGGAATTGGTGAATCAGGTCAGGTGATGTGCCACAAATCCCGCTAACTGGCCGTCAGATGGAGATGAGCTCGATGTAGCTTCCAGAGCAGGAAAGTGAACTTTGCCAGTGTGTTCCTAGACATTGAATGCAAACCATGTAGAACATACCCCCAAGGAAACTAAGGGTAGTGACTTGAGTTACACCCTCTAGTAAAGTGGGACATCTTTAATCCTGAGTCCCTCATTAATCCTTTAATCCTGCCTCATTAACACCTCACTCCAAAATGGGACCATATCCAGAGGCATAGAGGCTAGGATTCACAGTACATCACAGAATGAAGGAATGTGGCTAGAAGGGCCACATTCAGCAGTGTAGTGCATGGCACCAGTAAACTTGAATTTGGTGCCCTATGTTTATACTATGCATTATTTTGTTTCAACTTTGTATAAAATTATGATTTTCTTTACAAAAATACTTGTTGAGGGACAGCTATGTTTAATGTTCTGTTATAAAAACTGGAATGTTTGAAATGAAGACATGGCCTCCACCCTACAAGAGCTTAACACATCACAGAATGAGATAAATGTTGAAAAAAATATTATCAAGAATTCAAATAAATGTTCATTTTAACAATTAAGCTTTATTACTTTTTCTCAATTTGGGATTTGTAACAAGTAAAATTACATGACTAAAGGTTATCTTTTGCTTAGCATATCAAAATGGTTTTACAAACAAGATTGTACAATCTTTTTGAAAATCGATTTAAATCAGTTGTTTAAATTATAAGCACATATGTACATATATCCTGGCAATAGTCGCTTAACATTCATTAAAAACATTTCATGAAAGACTTTTTTTAGGTAAAAAGGATAAATGAATCTTAAACTCCATGAAGTCACGGCCAGTGCTGTGCTTACCACAGTGTCTGGAACTTAGAAGAAACTAGATATAGATTTATGGGATGGGTGAGTTACTTGGAAATTTAAAAAGTACTTATTTTTTCAATTCCATATTTCATACTAGGTCTCCCTCTCCAAATTAGAATGAGTTTACCTGAAAATTTGGCATCTCAACTAAAAGCTTTGCTTTGTTATCAATTGAAGTGGAATTTTATTTTGTTTTCTTTAATATGAGGTTTTTTCTAAGAATGGCAAACGTTTTGTTCTTTTGTTTGTTTACTTTGTGGGGTTTGCATCCTTCCATTAAACCTAATGAACTTTATTTGGCTTGATGGTGTTTAGTGCAGGTGCCAGGGAAAGGGAGAAGCTGGAGTAAAGTATAAGGAGGGCTTGTCTTCTCATGCACAGATATGCCAGCTGGTCTGCTTTAATGAAAATGTTGTCATACTGTGCATATTTTAGATATTGATTTGAGGCTTGCTTTTACATATATATTTATATATATGTATATATTGTTGTTGTTGTCAAGTGCCGTCGAGTCTGTAGCGACCCTGTATAGAGTTTCTAAGGAGCAGCTGGTGAGCTTGAACTGCCAACCTTGTAGTTCAAATGGCTTTGCAGTCTGGC